TCTGGTGATGAAACCACAATTGGAGCCCCATAGACTTTTCTCTAATTACTGGCTGCATGCACAAATTTAGACTCTCTTCTGTTTAATTCAGCAGAAGGCCTTCATTGACTTGACACCTGTGTTTTCACAGTGGCTGCATATTAGTTGGCCTTGATGAGGAAAGAGGTTGCTACTGGCTGTGAATTTCCATTAGAAGGACAAGTCACGGTACTCGCCGTGGGGTGGATGTTTAGACCACCCAGCTGCTGAATTTGGTAGTGTTTGTTCAGATCAAGTACCTGTCACTTTGGCATCTGGATCTCTTGCCTTGCCCCTTGGTGAAGCAAGCTCAGCTCTTTGCAGCTTTGTGATCTAAATGGTTAATGAAGCAGGAACTTGTCAGCCTATATGAGGGTCGTTATTCTTGGTGGCTTAATGGCTGCAGACTCTCACCACTACTTAGTGCTTTAATAAGCTGAAGCTATAAGGATAGAGTGTGGAAGACTGACTCACTGGGTGGGTGTCTTTCTTGCTGTTCTATTTGCAGGTTTGTCTGGCTGCAGTGGGCCTGGTTGGTGACTTATGCAGAGCCCTGCAATCCAACATCTTGCCTTTTTGTGATGAGGTTATGCAGCTGCTCTTGGAGAACTTGGGGGTGAGTGTTTACCTTCTCATTAGCCAGTTAGTAACAGTTGGCTTGCACACTGAGAAGAAAGTGGGAGGTGGGAGAAGCAGAAGTGTTAGTCGTGCTCTGGAGATCTCGTGTTTGACAACTATGTTGCTTACTATTTGACTGGAATCCAAATTTATTGGGGGTAAGGATTTACATTTCATTTAAATGTCTTAATTTATTAGCTCCTCCCTCCTTAAACAGAAGTGCAACTGACTGTAATGGTGCTGAAATCTCTTCCAGAATGAAAACGTTCATAGATCTGTGAAGCCTCAGATTCTCTCAGTGTTTGGCGATATTGCCCTCGCCATTGGAGGAGAATTTAAGAAGTACCTAGATGTCGTACTGAATACCCTCCAGCAGGCTTCCCAAGCACAGGTTGATAAGGTAAGCCAGTGGTGCACGCTCCAGTTCCTTCATTAAAATCATAAACAGCTAAGGGCTGCGCACGTGTCGGCGGCGGCACTGCTGAAGTGTGCTTTCCTGTTGCCTTTCCAGTCTGACTATGACATGGTGGATTACCTGAATGAGTTGAGGGAGGGCTGCCTGGAAGCTTACACTGGCATCATCCAAGGATTGAAGGGAGACCAAGAAAACGTGCACCGTGAGTACTCCGTCCTACTGTGGCGTTTCTGTGCCTGAAATGACGAAGGGAGATGGGGAGAGCTCTGCTTGGACAAGCTGTTTGATGGTTGTTGTCACGTCCATGGGCATATCTTCGTTCATTCCTGTCTGCGTGGGAGTGAATGCTGTGCTGTCACGAGCTGGGAGTGTGTTTAGAGCCCTTTGCTCTGGTTCCTCTTCCTCTGGCAGTTTTTCCCCTCCCTAGCTCAGAGAGCTCTTCTGGGGCCAGATTCTGGCAGTTTGGGGGTATACTGAAGTCCCTTTTAAAAGGATGAACTGTGTTTCACCCTGCTATAATAAAGCTTGTCTTCTTTCAGCGGATGTGATGCTGGTGCAGCCCAGAGTAGAATTTATTCTGTCTTACATTGACCACATTGCTGGAGATGAGGATCACACCGACGGAGTAGTGGCATGTGCTGCTGGACTGATAGGGTAAGCATCCTGATCCTATTTCAGCTGACAGCACACTCATTAGGTAGGTAGAAATCTTTGTACAACAGCCTTGTATACATTTGAAGCTGCATTTTTATGACTGTCTGAAGTGTTTACCATCAGTTCTGGGTTTTTACGGTCTAGTGTTGGATGTTTAACCCAAGGTGTGAAGTGGTTATGCAGGTGAGGTCCTTTAACTGACAGGGTGAAAACCGGTAGGTAGAAGTGAAAGTTGGATGTGTGTTGCAGAAATTCCAGATCTAGGATTTTTCAAGGATGACCTGGTCTTAAATAAAACACCCTCAATTTCCTGGGTATGGAGGAACTCTGTTCAGGGTGTTTTAATCTTTTCTGTTGCACTTAGGGAGAACTGATGGGGAACATCAGGGAGATCAGTCTTTGGACAGGAGATTGAATGTCTCCGGTTAGTCACAATTTCAGAGAACTGTTCAG